AGGAAGATGGCGCTGCGTCTCGATTCTTCCTCTCGGAGGAAAAAAATACTCTTCTTATGAAGCTCATAGGGTTTTGATATGTACAGAATTACTTCAGTGAAGAGTGGTGAAGGTTCTTGATGAAATTCATGTTGAAAAAAAATCGAGATCAGTGACAAGTTACTGATATGTGGTGGACTCTTTTAGTTGGGTATTTTCTTTGAATGAAAAAGCTGTGTATAGGCCCCCGTCGACCCAATTCATTTAGATTATTCAGGGGTTTGGACCTGCCTTTCAGGGCCAACCCAGGCTGAGAGGGACATACATCGTCCCACAGAACGACCGAGAGACTCGATAAAAATTCTCGACACACAAGATTCGAATTTTGCGTGCAACGGTGAAGCGCCTATCCGCTGTACCAAAGATGCCAGTGTTATCAGTCTGCAAATTTATTTCATTGTGAATAATTTTACAAACAGTTGGTGAATTTACCCTCTGATGTCTGCGGTTTAGCAGTTACGCACTTTGACGTCGAACGCAAAAGCCTTGGGTTCGATTCCCGTGTTGGGAAAATTTATATCAATTATCACGGCCTTTTTTACTGGCACCCATGTATCATCCCCCTCAGCCCAGGTTGTCCCTGATAGGCAGGAGGGTCGCCCACCCCCTAAAAGATCTAAATTGTGCCGACGGGGCATAAAAAACCTGCATTAATAAATGTTGCGCGCACTTGTCTTTTTGTCTCTTTCTTAGTTTACCATAATAATACAAGACTACTTCTCTCCAAATAAAAAAAATCCAAGTTCTCAGACATTAAATTGTAATGGTCTCCCTGCACTTTAGGGGGAGGCACAGGTTGTACCCCCTGATTGTGAAACAACACTTGCGTTATCTGTGATCAGTTACATGAGAAATATTGTCAGACCATTACATGTAAGAATATCATATTATTATCTCCCCCCCCCCCCCCCGATTTCCTATAATTTGTGTTCTCTTCTCTAATAAGTCCTACAGTCAGTTTATTTTTGAACAGATCAGATACTTTCAAGAACTACGTAAATCCCCAATCTATCTGCACCCGACGAGATGCCGCTAACTATGAAATGACTCTTCGCACGACACGTCAAACCCCTCGTGTGAATCCAAAAGAGCCAGTTTCTCAGCGGAAAGTCGGACAATCCTTTTTTTTGTTGTTGTTGTTTCTTTTTTTTCCGGTACACGGAGCCTGGTGATAAGCCGATGTGGACATTAATTTTCTACATCCGACCACCACCATTCAGTCTTTGGAATTTCCCGATCCCTTCATACATCTGTCGATCAAATATGGCGGTAGGCTTCTTTACGCGTGGTTCATATTTCTCTTTGGTGGGATCGTTGGTTCAAGCCGAGTTGTAGCCAACCTGTCAACGTGCTGCTGAACAAATTGTACGGTATGTTGTGACCCCGTGGCGCCCCCTGTAATCATGCTCAACAGAAAAGACGGTCTGGCTTTTCGGGGTTTCGTTTGGCGTAGTCAAGAGTTATTCTTTTGAGAGATCTCAGCTTGTTGGGGTATCGTGATATCTTTTTTACAAAGACGATTTTGGCAAAAAAGGTACCCGAAGCATA